ACCTGATAACCGTCCATTGTGGAAGTTTAACAAGACGTCTGGATACAGTACCGGATGTGTCGGGTTACCAAGAATGGTGTAAATGACTGCCATAACTCCACGGGAAGAAATTCCAATGATAGGTGCCTTGAACCGTCCCGCTAAGGCGTACATAACTGGATGAAAATATTCAGTTAAAATCAAATCAAACTGTTTGGTCTGATCATCTATTAGTTCTTTGAATTGGGTACTGTTAAGTTCAACTTCTGCGAGCGCATCCATGAAACGGAAGGTAGCATCCCGGTTTAAATAAATGTTTGATTCTTTTGACATAATATCTCGAATTTTGGGTTGTTTTAGAAAATCGTAGGTGAAGCGAAGACTGATTTCGGTTAGGTTTGTTAGAGATGGGTCGTTTAAAGGATCTGGTGTTACCACAGTGACGTTGTGACCTCTCAAGGACAGTTCGCTCCATACGGATTGGAAGACGCGCTGATGACTGATGGACGGTACCATAAACACTCCTAATATATTGATGGACAAGACTGGTGTGGAATGTAGAAAGAGTATAACAGACGGTGTAGGCAACATTTTCGTGTTAGTTCTGACCACTACTGACTTTCCACACACAAAGAAATAATAAAATATGTCATGGTACATAAATTGCACTGACGAAACTGGTTATTATAGAATAAATACAAAATCGGACGTGGTACCTATTTAAATACACGTAGTTGTAAATTTTCTCAACCATAAAAATGTAGTTCAAACCTTATCTGTGAGTAGTTAAGGTTATATTACGTAGTAGAGGTCATCCATACGTCTAGCGATACGTCGTAGAAAAGCTTTTAACAAAATTAATTGTGAGTGCAGTATTTATTTTCAACGACAAATAATAATTTTAAAACTTGCTCGAAATATATTTTTTATCGTGTGAAAACTCTAAAAATTAAGCTTGTTTTAGAAACAAAATGAAGGTAAAAAAGAAATTTCGGCCAATGACCAGGTGTTGGGATTTTGGGGCAAGGTGGATACCATAGCATTGGAACTAGCGTTTGAGAATAGTTTTATGAAGGGAAGGATTAAAGAACTGGAATAGACGGATAGGAAGACGTACGCTGGAGTTGTCGGAGGTGCTAGATCTGGGCAGGGTAGTAAGGAAGTGCCAAGAAGGAAGAAAACGTATTCTATTATGGTGAAGTCTAAGGATCCTGAGGAAGATGGGGATAAGATTAGAGAGAAAGTTATTAAAATGGGTGTAGACGTGAAAGTGGAAAATGTGAGGAGGAACAGAAGTGGTGGATTAATAATTGAGACGAGGAGTAAGGAGGAGATAGAGGTGATAAAGCAATACGGGTGGAGGTATTGTTGAAAGAGTTTTTCCCAGTTGACGTTCTCGTGAACTATGAATTGTATGAAGGGGTGGAGGGTGTCGTGGAGAGAGTGAATTATGATGAGGTTGAAAGGAGCGTGAGCAGTATGAAAGAGAAGAAGTCGCCGGGAATATATGGTGTGACGCCTAAAATGATGACACTTGTGTGGGAGACTGTTCCGGAGTTTGTGTTGAAGGTGTTTAATGCATGTATGGAGGAAGGATGGGTTCCGGATGAATGCAAGGTAGCGCGACTGGACATCCTCTTGAAAGCCATGGATAAGGATAGGTCATTACCGAGGTCGTATAAACCTATCTGTCTTTTGAGTGTGATGGGCAAAGTGTTTGAGAGGTGTAGTGAAAATACATACAAGCATTACGGTTGCAGAAGCAAACAAGAAGCTAACATGGCGTACTGAATGTAATCACGTTGTTTTAATAAATCACTAATCATCTAAAAGTGTATTTAATTAAAAACGACAAGACATGGCGCAGTCGAAACAGTGAACCTAAAGTAATGTGTGAAAAGTTAAATTTTGAAGATTAATGAAGAAAATCAACGACCTCGTGGAAAAGAAGAAAATCTAACCTCAAAATTGAAGATGTCGAACTTCGTAGTCCCAGCACCGCTAAATCTCAATGGAAATTTATATAAAAACTGGAAAAAGTTTAAGAAGAGCTTCAACGTATACATGACAGCATCATCGTACGACAAGGGACCAGAAGAAAGGCAAGTGGCAATTCTTCTTAATCTAATTGAACCAGCGGCAGTCGAGCTACACGAAACATTCAAGTATGGAAAAGGTGATGAGAAGAAAATAGAGAAAGTATTACAAGCATTTGAAGAGTACTGTAATCCAAAGAACATACTTCATGCAAGATTTCTCTTCTACAATCGCAAACAACGAGAAAGCGAGCCGTTTGATACCTTTTTAACTGATTGCAAAACTTTGGTACAAGCATGTAACTTCAAGAATGCCGATGAACTCTTGAGGGACAAAATAGTATTGGATGCTGCTGACACGGACACCATCGACACGATTATAAAGTTGGGAGATATCAAGTTAAAAGACGCCATTGAAAAATTTCGAATTGATGAACTGGTAAGAAGACAAACCCAAGAAATCCATGGAAAAGAAGTCAACCTGGTAGCTGGAAAGAAACAGGAGAACCAACAGAAAAATGGAAAGTTTGTTCAACAAAAATGGAGAGAAACCCCTTCTTCTTCCTCCTATGAGAGACCCAAAAATACAGATGGAAAGTTCCACGACAAGAAGAAGGAGAGATACGAAAGAAACATTGGAAACAGTCCAGGAAATTGTCAACGCTGTGGGAGAAGACACGAGAGACAACAATGTCCAGCAAAAGGCAAGCAGTGTCAGAAATGTCTCAAATTTAATCATTTTTCAAAAATGTGTAAAACGCTAGCAAATAGTATTTCAAATTCAATTGAAGTTTCCAACATTGATGACGACGATAACACATATTATTGTAATAATGTTAGGAAATTCAGGGTAAATTCAATCTCATGCAGTAAATTTCTGAAAGTTGAAAATGTAAATGTAAATTTTAAATTAGACACTGGTTCAGATGTTAATTTAATACCATACAATGTCTGAAAATCTACAAAAAACCACGTAAAAAAAAATTAAAATTAACGAGTAGTAATCTCAAATTAGAAGCGTATGGAGGTTCAACAATAAAACATTTTGGACATGTTGATCTAAATGTTTAGACTGATACAATGAATTCCGTTGAAAAATGTATTGTCACCAAAGCTAATTTTACACCAATCTTGGGACTAAGTTCATGTTTAAAATTAAACTTAATCAATATGAAAGTTGATAAAAGAGAAAAGGACAATGGTAAAGAAAATTTAATTGAAAAATACAGTGAAAATTTCAAAGGTGTAGGTTGTTTTCCAAATAAATATAAAATCGAATTAAAAAACGAGGCAAATTCTGTATCTTTGCCACCTTACAGAATTCCTATAAAATTGCAGGATAAAGTTAAAAATGAATTAGACAGATTGTGTAAATTGGATATTATTACAAAATATGAGCAACCGACAGCATGGGCTAGTAGACTCACTGTTGTAGAAAAACCAGATAAAGCGTTGAGACTGTGTTTAGATCCCAAATATATAAATGAAAGTATTAAAGGCGAACATTTTGAAATACCTACATTGTCTGATCTAAAATCTAAACTTGGTAAAGCCAAATTTTTTAGTTGTTTGGATCTAAAGGAGGGATTTTGGCAGATTAGGCTTGATGAAAGTCGTATACAACACTGTGTTTTTTCAACAATGGTAGTTATGCGTTTAAAAGACTACCATTTGGTTTGAAAATATCTGCCCAAGTCTTTCAGAAATTCAATTCTCAAACTTTCGGAGATATTGATAACATCTTTATTTATATTGATGATATATTGATTTTTGCAGAAACTGAAGAACAGCATGATCAAACGCTAATTAAAGTTCTAGAAAGGGCAAAAGCAATGAATATTAAATTCAATTTAAATAAATTCCAATATAAACAAAAATCAATTAAATATTTAGGGCACATTTTTAATAATGGTACTGTCGAAATTGATCCAGAACGAATCAAAGCAATAATGCAATATGATACACCACGTCATAAAAAAGACTTGCAACGACTGTTGGGTTTAATTAACTATTTGCGCGATTTTATCCCAAATTTGGCTGAGAAATCCATCTCATTAAGACAGTTACTCAAAAAGATTCACAATTTGTATGGTTAGATGGTCATACTCAATGCTTAAATAACATTAAAAAATTGATAAGTGATGCGCCGTCACTAAATAATTTTGATCGAAATAAAGAAATTGTAATACAAATTGACAGTAGCAAAAATGGCATTGGTTGTGTACTCTTGCAGGATAAAAAATCTATTAGCTTTGCATCAAAAAGTTTGTCAGACAATGAAATCAAATATGCACAAATAGAAAAAGAATTTTTAGCGATATTATTTGCATGTCAACGTTTTCATTATTTCATTTATGGTAAAAAAATTAAAATTCAAACGGATCATAAACCTTTAATTGGGATAATGAATAAAGAAATAAATCAAATTCCATCTAGTCGACTTCAAAGAATTCGTTTCAAGTTATCAATGTATGATTTCGAATTAGTGTACAATCCGGGTAAAAACATGTTAATTGCAGACGCGATAAGTCGAGCATGTTCAACAGCTGAAAATATTGAAACTGACATAGAATTGAATCAAGTAATTCATACAGTTAATGTGAGCGACAAAATAATCGAAAAAATAAAATACGAAACGAATAAAGATGAAATCTTACAAGAATTAATATCATTATGTATCAATGGTTGGCCACAAGATAAATCAAAAGTTAATGAACATGTAAAATTTTATTATAAAATGCGGCATGACATTTTTGTAAATGACGGAATAGTCTACATACAAAATAAAATAATGATTCCAAAAAACCTAGAAACTTTTATTCTTAACAAAGTCCATGAATCACACTTAGGTATTTACAAAACCAAGTGGAGAGCAAAATCATTATTTTATTTCATTAATATGGATTCAAAAATTGAAGAACTAATTGCGAAATGCCAAACTTGTCAAAAATATAGACCTAAAAATGCCCATGAACCAATGATAATTCACGAAATTCCTTCACTTCCGTTTGAAATAGTAGGTTGTGATATTCTGGAATATGCTGGAAAAAATTATTTAGTTTTAGCGGACTATTATTCACATTGGGTAGAATTGAAATTACTACCAAACAAAAATTCAGACTCTGTTATTAAAGCACTCAAAGAAATTTTTGCGACACATGGAATACCTGATAAATTAATTGCTGATAATATGCCATTCAATTCGTTCGAAATCCACAATTTTGCTACCAACTGGAATTTTTCAATAACTGCAAGCAGTCCAAGATATCCTCGTAGTAATGGTTTGAGTGAACGATATGTTGGCATTTGTAAAAAAATTTTAACGAAATCTAACGAAACAGGGACAGATATTGAAAGTATCTTACTCGATTACAGAAATTCACCCCTTTTCAATACAGGAATCACACCAGCAATGTTATTGTACAGCAGAAAAATGAAAACTAAATTACCTATGTTGAAAACAATGTTACAACCACAAATTGTCGAAAACTTTCATAACATGCTTGAAAATCACAAACTTAAAACAAAAATAAATCATCACAAAAATACCAAAGAAAGAAATTATAATCTAAATAAAAAATTTATTATGTATAGGGATAATGATAAAAAAATATGGAAACCAGCAAAAATCGTAAAACCATGGCATACACCGCGTTCAGTAATAATCAAAGATTTAAATACTAATAAGACTTTAAGACGCAACACTGTAGATTTGAACTTTAACAATCATTATAATTTTAAAAATGCCAAAAATTGTAAGGGGGATGAGGAGCAAGTGAAACAAACGAAAAGTTCTTGCAAATCAACCTCTGATAATAATCAAAATGTAAACAGACCAAATTGTGACGTAAATCAACCGAGAATAACACGCTATGGACGTATTGTAAAGCCTGTTGTTAAGTTGAATTTCTAAATAGTAAGAAGTAGGATAAGTAGTTTTTGTAATGTTAAGAATTTATGTTTTTATTGAAAAAAGGGAGATGTAGTGAGAATACATACAAGCATTACGGGTTGCAGAAGCAAACAAGAAACTAACATGGCGTACTGAATGTAATCACGTTGTTTTAATAAATCACAAATCATCTAAAAGTGTATTTAATTAAAAACGACAAGACAATTGCATCACTTTGGTGAAGAAATTCTTCATGCAGTACACAATCGTAGACTTGTTTCTGACGATCTAGGTTTATTTTTTTTTATAATTATTTATCTGGCCAAGCATGTTACATCTGTACAACATTTATTAAGAAAAAACATACAAAAAACAAAGTAATGTTATAGTAAGTATAGTAACTGTTTCATTTTACAAAGTTTAACAATACAATAATCAAACAATGAATTAAAAAAACCGAAACTGCTACTATAGCAATCGTTATCGCTATAACATCTAAGAAAAAATACGTAACCCAGGACATATGAACGGATGAACTTTTCAAGTGCTTGGCACCCCCATGTTTAATCACGTACTCGGACCACCAAATCACATCTTCTAATCCACTTCGTGGTTTATCAGAAACGACCCCACTTACTTTCCTGATGTTGTCCTTATACCTAGAAAACTCAAGTTAAATCGTCTACCGGCAACCTCAGACACCTACATCTTAGATCCAGCTACTTTCACAATAACTTCTTTTAGCTCTGTTGCAGTTATAGAAGTCGGATTGATTTGTTCACCTATCCCTAAAGCCACAAACTTGCGAACATTTTCGGGTTGATCAGCATAAAACGGTATTCCAACAATGGGGATCTGGCTAGAAACGGCTTCTTCAAGCGAATGCAACCCTCCATGTGTCACAAAAACCTTAACATTATTATGCGCTAAAAAATAACATTGAAGAAACAAAACCTTAACAACGAAACACACCTAGAAGGTCTTTCTGCGGAAACCAGTTTCTAATAACCACATTAGTGGGTAGTTTAGGTAAATCAACATCACATTTGAGTAAAACTTGATAAGGAAGTTCGGCCAGAGCTTGTAAAATATTCTCTCGAATTTGTGGTTCCAAACGGGACATTCTCACGTTGGTGCCTAAACTAAAATAAACCACACCGGTTTTAGCGTCATCTAAAATTCTTTGCAAATCCTGAAACAGTACTTTGTTTATTTAAAACAAAAAGTGTTGTTTTGGTACGTTTGGTAAAGGTTTAGGTGAGTGGTACTCCAAAGGTAAAATTTCAACCACTGCAGGTACGTTTGGTCTCAAACTTTGTATTTGGTGATGTCTGTTAAGCAAAGACATGCTGACACTGTTCTCGTACTCGGAAATGTAAGCTAAATCCCCGAAATACTTCTTCACGAGCTTATCAGCCTTCACCAGAACCACATTCTGGTAGTAGTAACGATTCCACACAAAAAACGCCAAACTTTGAACTTTTTCCCACAGCATCATGTTTCCAGCCGGAAGGTTTATGACAAAATCAGGGTACAAAACTGGATGATTCACATTACCAACAGCATCATACTGGGTGTTGAAGATGTTCATCGACATGAGTCCAATCACTGGTGCCTTAAATTTTCCAGATAATGCGTACATAACTGGATGCATTAGTTCGACGAGAATCAAATCGAATGTCCTATTATGATCCCCAAGCAATTTTTTAAATGAAGGACTGCTTAATTCTCTGTCTGCAATGATTTCCAAAAGTTGGAAAAAATTTCGCGTTATGTCGTAGAAAGTCAAGTCTTTGAAAAACAATTTTTGGACATTTTTCTCTTCCAAAAGGTCATACGCACAGTGAATGTCGATTTCTGTGAGGTTTGTAAAAGCGGGGTTGTTCACGGGGTCAGGTGTTACAACGGTGACGTGGTGACCCCGTAAGGATAGTTCTTGCATGATGTTGTGGTAGACCATTTGGTGACTGATGGAAGGGTACATGAACACCCCCAAGATATTAGCACAGTTTGCTGTACCTATAAAAAGTATAAGAGTTACAATGGACATGTTTGTTTGTTGTGACCAATAGACACTTTGTAACCTTTTGTTTGACTGTCCACTACAATGGCAAATTATGCATGACGTCTTAAATTTATCGCTACACTTATGTAATACAAAAAAACTATTTACATTCTAAAAGTAGATAAAATGTAATTTATTATACAAGGCGATAAAGAGAATCTTTATCTACGAGTAAAATTTTGGTCACAAGTGACGGCATATTCTTTATCGTTGAATATAATAAGGTATTTTAATTTTAGAACTTTAATACGTCGGTCATAGATCAAATACTTGTGTTGTCTTGGTTTCACTTTGTTTATTTGTAGACAGTAGAAACATAGTGGTGTAAACACAAGTCCTGTAAGAAAAATTAAAATTAAGTCTTCCAGATGGTAAGAAAACTACGAAATGTCGACACACATTGCCATGCCCGATCAACAAAAACGTTCCTTTGACACCTGTTCACCAACTCCCTCACATTTCCAAACCTCAACACATCACACCAAACTAAGGACACCGAATCACCAATCCCTTATACATATATCAGTCGTACCGTTCGTTTTTCCAGACCCCATTCTTTCCTCAATACACGCCTCAATTTCCCCATCACTCCGATCACCCTACCTTTCAGACTCTCGACTTGCGGCCTAAAATTCATACACTCACTAACTCTTATACCCAAATACTTCACCTCTTTCACATACTTCACACGCTTTTCGTGAACCCTCGCCTTCGGCAGTCTCGACTAAAACAACGATCCCAGCATCATAACCGTTTTTTCCCTGGAGATCTCGACACCCACTCCAATCCCCAAAGCAACCACCATTTCCATCACTTCCGTTCCCACATCCTCTACGCACCTTCCCTTCATTTGTCCCTCCTACCACACACAATTTCCGATCTTTAAAATAACTCGCCCAAACTTTGATCTTCTTACACCCAACTTCCATCAATTTACTCAACACCGCATTCGAGCTCAGATATCACACGCACCTTTAAAATCAACAAAAATTCCCAATACGTACTTCTTTTCCGACCACTCCACAACCTGTTTCACTCTTATCCACGCATCCTGTATTCCCAGTCCTCTCACGAAACCGAACTGAGACCTCGACTTTCTTCTTTCAACTACCCTCGCCAATCTCCCCACCAGTACCCTCTCAAACACTTTGCCCATCACACTCAAAAGACAGATAGGTCTATACGACCTTGGTAATGACCTATCCTTATCCATGCCTTTCAAGAGGATGACCAGTCGCGCCTTCCATTCATCCGGAACCCATCCTTCCTCCATACATGCATTAAACACCTTCAACACATACTCCGGAACGGTATCCCACACAAGCGTCATCATTTCAGGCGTCATACCATCCATTCCCGGCGACTTCTTCTTCCTCATACTTCTCACGCTCCTTTCAACCTCATCATAATTCACTCTCTCCACGACACCCTCCACCCCTTCATACAATTCATGCTTCACGGGCACATCAACTGTGAAAAACTCCCTCAACAATACCTCCACCGTATCCCTCCACGTTTCCGTTTTCCTATCACCGCCCCATACGCCTACCAGTCCTTCGTTCTTCTCACTCCTACAGAGCTTATAAACTGCACCCCACGGATCTGCATTGCCAACAAACCGGACAAAATTCCTCCACCTTAAGACCTTTGTCTCCTTGATGGCTTTTTTATAATGTTTGAGCAAGCCTTGATACTCGAACCTGCACCTCTCGTTTCCTTCCAAATTCCCCTCTCGTTTACGAGTCAACTGCCATATTTTTCTTGCTTTTGCAACTCGACCTTTTAAGTCGTTTAGTTGCTCGGTCCACCAGGCTGCTCTTTTACCTTTACCCCTTACAAACCTTTTTGTCGCCTTGGCCATAACAATGTAAATCCATCTGTGCAGGCTTTCTAGCTGCTCCCTACCCGGAACTCTCGCAAAGCTTCCAAGACTGGTCATATAGACCTCCATTCCCAACTCTGATTTGAACATCTCCCAGTTGACGTTTCCCATGAACCACCCTCTTCTCTTTTTTATCTTGTCTTTGAACTTCCCTCACACACCTTTCACACCGATCAATATACAATTGTGGTCATTCACACCCCAGTCTTCCTTAACCTCCCACGTGTCACACAAACCTCTCCAACCAGTTACCATTCACTACCGTGACGTCTATGTCCGACTTTCCCATTGGCCCGTTAAAAGTGAACAGATGGGATGCTCTGTTCAAAACCTCCAAGTCCAATTCCCCAATTAATTCTTCCAATTCCCGACCCCTCCTCTCACTCTCACGACCTGTCCTCACATATTTACTGTATGACAGGGGGGAGACGGCATTGGCATGCATACCTATCATCATCGCCTTTCCCTCGCATCCATCTGACACCTTTCTTATCCATTCCAAATACGGCCGAATCTCATCCCCATATCGACAATACACAGACACCACACACATGCTACCTAACTCACAGTCTATATCCAAATTTTAACCCTCCATGCTAATTTGTATAGCATCCATACCTCTATCATCCATCAACACTGCAGCTCCACAACCATCAGCGGACATATACACTCTCATATCATCAGGCACACCAACAACCCGGCCCTCTCTTGCATATGGTTCCTGCAACAACGCCACCCATATATCATTCTCTTTCATACATACCCCTATGTCACACATCACACTATAACAACCCTGACAATTTGCTTGCACGATTTTAAGGCCCATAAATAAATTTCCTGACCGCACTTAGCTGCTGTACAAATATCGGGCAAATACTGGAAAACACCGAGTGGACGAATTCCTTTCCCGCTACCTTACAATTCCTACACTGGTCGATCGTCGCCTTACATTGTTTCCCTACATGTCCCAGTTCCCCACATTTCCTGCAAACCTTATTTCTGATCTTACAATCAAACGCACCAAGACCGTATCCGTAACAGTTATAACACCTCAACACATCGACCCAATCTTTCCATTTGAACGAATGCCAGCCTGCATACACCCTACCCTGGTCCAAAAATACCTCCCTAACTTTATTCGTAAACTCAATCACAACAATTTCGAAATTTTGACGTACCTTACCCGTTCCTGCTTGCCCGATCCTCTAGTCCCAACAATTCTAATACTATCCCCAAACTGTTCCTCGGCCATCTTCCCCACGAAATTTTTCCGATATATCGACTCAACCAATTCCTGATTCCCCATTTCCACAGGTAAATCATACGACATAATCCTAAATCCTCTCCTTTTCACATCTTCCGTGGATCAGTTCGGGTTTGCTTTAGCCACTTGCTTTATCACCTCTATCTCCTCCTTATTCATCGCCTCAGTTATTAATCCACCACTTCTGTTCCTCCTCAGATTTTCCACTTTCACGTCTACATCCATTTTGTTAACTTTCTCTCTAATCTTATCCCCATCTTCCTCAGGATCCTTAGACTTAACCATAACAGAAGATGCGCCCGTATCCCGAGAGGTTTCACTTCATTGTTGAGACGGACCATCAGTCGTTGAAGTGGTTACTGAGACAATCGAATTCTTGTGGTCGCCTCTCCCGCTGGATAATGTCCTTACAGACATACGACTTTGAGATGGTGTACCGAAAGGGTGTCCTGAACCAGGTGGCCGACGTCTTGTCCCGATATCCGAAGACGTCGATTCCGTTACCGTGGACCTGGTTGGCCATCACCGCCACCGTAATCCGAACGCTAACCGACCGAAATATATCCAGATTTGGGTGTCCCAAGGTAATGATTACCGGCAATGGCGTCCAGTTCGACAGCCGATCTTTTGAGCGTTTTCTGAAGGATCATCGCCTCAAGCGAACCCCGTTGAAAGAGCTAATAGCATCGTAAAAACTATGATCACCCAGTATTGCGAAACCGATCATAGAAAGTGGGACGAAAACCTGGACAACTTTATGCTTACGATAAAGTCCTCACAACATGAATCCGCCAGATTTTCCCCGGCATTCCCGAATTTTGACCGTGAAATCTGTATCTTGGTGTCACGATCCGATGGCCGCAGCGACACCGATTCTGTTGCAGATGGCCCTTACGTCACCCCTGAGCAACATTCCTATCGTATGTCCAAGCAAGAAATAGAACCTGTCATATAGGGAACCGCGTGATGAAAAGAGAGCATCCGTTGTCATTTTAATTTTAATTTGTTACAACAAGAGTTGGATTACTTTGTACGAGAAATAAACAATAGTACCAATCATTACAACTGCTGTTAAGACAACTTCCACTAATAAATAGTCGTACCAAGAAAAATCAACTGTGGGACTTCTCAGGTGTTTCGCCCCCTTATGTCTAACAACATATTCCGTCCACCAAACGACCTTTTCCAGTCCAGTCATTGGCTTGTCGTACAAAATGTCACGAATTTCCTGAATTCTTTCACGGTATCTAAAATTGTCCCTTCATTATACTCAAACCACAACAACTACAACTCACTTGTTGTTTTCGGCAACCTCAATTATACACTTTTTTAGTTCTTCTTTGCTCATAGTAACTGGATCAACACCTAATCCGATCCCCATGTCGATGATTTTTTGTACATTCATTGGTTGATCACGCATGAAAGGCATCCCAATTAATGGTACCCCTCTAAAGATTGCTTCTTCAATGGATTGAAGACCACCTTGTGTAACGAAAGCACGAATATTTCGATGTGCTGCAACCATTTATTAAAATAAAAAAATTAGTAAGTATTCACTGACCCAGGACATCCTGTTGTGGAAACCACTTTCTCGTGACCACGTTCTTTGGTCTTTCAGGTAAATAGTCGGACTCCCATTTCCACAGAACCTTGTACGGTAACTCAGACAAAGCTTGTCTTATGGTGTTCCTTACTTTGTTCTCTAAGTTTACGCTTTTAACGTTCGACCCTAAACTAAAGTAGATCACACCTTCAGCAGCACCGTCTAGAATTTGTTGCAAATCCTCAGGAAGCGGTTTCACCAGTTTAATGTGCATCTGTCCGGTTTCGACCACGACGGGTACATTGGGTCTCGGCGGGTACACCAAAGGGTTTGTATTAAGGAAAAACAAACTTTGATTTGCCTCGATATCCCCTATGTACGGTATATCCCCACCAAGGTACTTCATGGCAGTTTTATGCCCCCTTGGTACCAAAATAGCATGATGGTAGTACCGTGACCACAAACTCCATAAAACGCTTTTAATTTTGTTCCACATTGATAACCGTTCATTGTGGAAGTTTAACAAGGCGTCTGGAAACAGTACCGGATGTGTAGGGTTACCAAAAATGGTGTAAATGACTGCCATAACTCCACGGGCGGAAATTGCAATGATAGGCGCCTTGAATCTTCCCGCTAAGGCGTACATAACTGGATGAAAAGATTCAATTAAAATCAAATCAAACTGTTTGGTCTGATCATCTATTAGTTCCTTGAATTGACTACTGTTAAGTTGAGCTTCTGCGATTAAATCCATGAAACGAAAAATAGCATCCAGGTTTAGAAATATGTTTGAGTCTTTAGACATCAGCTCGTGGATTTTAATTTGTTTTAAAAAGACGTAACTGAAGTGAAGACTGATTTCGGTTAGGTTTGTAAGAGACGGGTCGTTTAAAGGATCTGGTGTTACCACAGTGACTTTGTGACCTCTCAAGGACAGTTCGCTCCATACTGATTGGAAGACACGTTGATGACTGAATGAGGGAACCATAAACACTCCTAATATATTGATGCACAAGACCGGTGTGGAATGTAGAAGAAGTATGACAGGTGCAGGCAACATTTTCTTGTTAGTTCTAGCCACTACTGACTTTCCACACGCGAAGAAAAAAATGACGATTTCATGGTACATAAATTCCAGTCTGACAAAACTGGTTATAATTTAAATACAAATTCGGGCTTGGTATCTGTTTAAATGCACGTGGCTGTAAATTTTCTCACCCATAAAAGTGTGTTTCAAGCCTTATCTCTGAATACTTAAGGTTGTATGGCGTACTAAAAGTCATCCATTTGTCTAACTTTACGTCATAGAAAAAAATGTGTAAACCTAACACTTGAAATAATTTGAGCTAATTTTAAATTGGTTTATTGAGTTTTTTATTTAATATATGACCTTACTTTATACACGAGATAAATTATAGTACTAATGATAACAGTTACTACTAAGACAACTTCGACTAATAAATAGTCAAACCAAGAAAAATCAGCCCCTGGACTCCTCAAATGTATTGCTCCCTTATGCCTTATAATGTACTCAGCCCACCAAACAACTTTTTCCAGTCCCGTCATGGGCTTGTCGTACAAAAGGTCACGAAGTTCCTCGACTCGTTTCTTATATCTAGAATAACCACAGTGTATTATTGTCTCTTCAGTAGGTAATTTCAATGTCAAAACTCACTTGCTATTTTCAGCAACCTCAATTATACAATTTTTTAGTTCCTCTTTGCTCACAGTAACCGGATCAACACCTAGTCCGATCCCCTGGTCTACGATACTCTGGACATTCACTGGCTGTTCACAAATGAAAGGCATCCCAATGAGTGGTACCCCTCTAGAGACTGCTTCTTCAATTGATTGAAGACCGCCTTGTGTGAAAAAAGCGCGAATATTTCGATGTGCTACAAAAAGTTATTAAATTAGGAAAATGACCAAGTGAACACCAACCAAGGAGATCTTGTTGCGGAAACCACTTTCTTGTGACCACGTTCTTTGGTTTTCCAGGCAAGTAATCGGACTCCCATTTCCACAGAACTTTGTAAGGGAGTTCAGAGAAGGCTCCCATCATGGTGTTCCTTAGTTTTTCATTTAAATTTGTGCTTTTAACATTCGAGCCTAAACTGAAGTAAATCACACCTTCGACAGCTTCGTCTAATACTTTTTGCAAATCCTACACATTTCAAGGTTAGTTGAGGTTATAAGAATGTCTTTGTGGCACTAACTTCAGGTAGTGGTTTCGCCGGTTTAATGTGCATTTGATCCATTTCCACTATAGCAGGTACATTAGGCTTTGGCGGGTACACGACAGGGTTTAGATTCATAAAAAGCATACTTTGACTCGCTTCCAGAGCACCTATGTACGACACACTCTCCCCAAAATACCTTTCTGCAATACCTTGAGATCTCGGTACCAAAATATAATGGTGGTGGTACCATGACCACAAACTCCACACAGCGCTTTCAATTTTGCTCCACAGCGATTTATCGACATTGTGGAAACCAAATAAAACATCTGGGTATAGTATTGGGTGTGAGGGATCACCAACAGTGTTGTAATGGACTGCCGTTAGTCCAAAAGTAGCAACTCCAATGACAGGTGCTTTGAACCTTCCAGCTAACGCATACACAGCGGGATGAAAACCTTCTACCAAAACCAAATCAAAATGATTTGATTGGTCAGCTATTAGTTCTTTGAAACGAGAACTGTTCAGTTCGGCTTCAACAATAAAATCGATGAGGCGGTACGCAGGAATCAGTCTCTGAAAAACATTTGAGTCTTTTGAATACACTTCCTCGATTTTGGATTGTTTTAAAATGTCGTAGGTGAAGCGAACACTAATTTCAGTCAGGTTTGTTAAAGAGGGGTCGTTTAAAGGGTCGGGTGTTACCACCGTGACGTTGTGACCTCTCAAGGATAATTCTTTCCATATTAATTGGAAAACGATTTGGTGACTAATTGAGGGAAAGAAGAACACTCCGAGTATATTGCTGCAAAGGACAGGTGTGGAAAATAGAAGAAGTACAGTAGTTGCAGGGTACATTTTCTTGTCACTATTAAACGATTAAGTGCGGCGTTAGCCCTTTATACTTAGTGCAAAACAAATAAAAATATAAATTATAATCAAAAATAAAAGCGGTATCTGGCATATAAATCACAGCGTGAATGTTCAAAAACAGGTCACACTATACGTTTAGCCTAGGAATTATTTATGAGCATAATATATTAAATTCCCTGTACAAAGTTACTATTGCACGCAAAAATATTATCGGTATTTAGCAGGGAGAGGCCTTAGACCGCTTAGTCTCCTCAATGCGGATTTTCAGAACCCCTAAACTCTTGAATAGAATAAAGTGGACACGTGACAATGAAAAAGACGATTCGCCGCCCAAAGAGCCAGCAAAAACATTGAAAATGGTAGAAAGAGAACAAATAAAGCAAGGACAAGAGCCGTTGATGGAAATGATGAAGCAACTAATGGAAGAAATGAAACAACTGAGAGAAGAAAATGGACGGGTAAAAAAAGAATTACAGACAATAAATGAAATAGGAAGAAAAGAATGGAAAGAAAAGGAGAGAAACTTCGAAGAAAGAATCAATAATTTAGAGAAGAAGTTGGAAAAAAAAGAAAAGCAAAAAAGAAGGTTAGACGCTTTGGGAGAAAAAACAAGAGGTGATGAAGAATAAAAATAAGCTGAGAGGAAAGAGAATACAGTACAAAAGCAAAAAATTCAAAAAGGAATTAGGGAGGTAGCTAAAGAGGAAAGAAAAAAAGGCTACACAACAAGGGTGGGATATAAAAAGCTGGAAGTAGGGAACAAAATGTATACATGGAATGGCAATAAAGGAAAATTGGAAGAAAAATTTCGCAAATCAAGTCAGCACTAACCGAAGAAAGAAACACAAAGGGGAGGGGTAGTAATGATGGGACAAATAAAGACTTTAGGTTTAAGAATGTAGATTTTGTACATAATAGGGGAATGGGAAAGAAGAATGGGGAAGATAAACGTGGTTTAAAATTACTCTTTTGGAAAATTGCGGGTTTGGAAAAGAAAGATAATTTATTTTGGGACTACGTGAAAAATTTTGATTTTGTGGGACTAACAGAAACTTGGATACTAGAGAGAGACTGGAACAAACTGAAAGACGTGTTGCCAAAGGAATTTCAGTGGAAATTGCAAGGGGCAAAAAAAGAAAAACGCAAGGGTAGAGCAAAAGGTGGAATCATAACAGGAGTGAAGAAAGATATAAAAGAAATAGAAGAGGGGGCGATAGAAATCGAAGGCATGGTTGAAAGAAAACCGACTGTAAATAAAAAAAGATGGATAATCGGCACAATATATAGTAGAAGAATGAGAAACACGAAACAAGAAATACAAGAAAAAATCGAAGAGTCCGAAGAAGAATTTCCATTGTTAGGAGGGGAGTTTAATGCCAGAATAATGAATACACACTAAAATCGAAAGATAAAGTAGAAAACAAAGACGGAAAATTGCTATGGGAATTAATTGAAGAAAGAGGTTGAGAAGTCTTGAATGGGGTGAAGGAAGGGGACGAGAAGGGGGAATTTACCTGGATAGGTAAAAGAGGGGAATCGGTAATAGACTACGTAATAGTAAACGGATTAGCAGAAGAAGAGGTAGAAACATTCAAGATAGGAGAAAGAGTGGACTCCGATCACATGCCACTAGAAGTAAAAGTGAGGGGCATAAGTAGAGGGAGCGGATGCTTAAGGAATGAAGTAGGAAAAGAGAAGAAGATGTGGGTATGGAATGAAAATGGAACTGAAAAGAAAATGGAAGAATTAAAAAGAGAAATTGAAAAAGCAGCCATAAGAAAAAAAAATGTAACGAGAAATTTAGAAAAGAGAAACAGATGGTGGGATAGCGGATGCAGAGATTTAAAAACAGAAGCAAGGAAATGTTTACGAAGGTAGAAAAAGGGGAAAGGTATAAAAGAAGAGTACTGGCAAGCAAAAAATAATTATAGAAAACGATTCAAAGAAAAGAAAGAAGAGAAACAGCAAGAAGAAGAAGAAAAAATTAAAGCCATAAGAACTGAGCAAGAGGCATGGCAGTATATAAATAAAGAACGGAAGAACAAAATCACGATTAGTGAAGACATACCTATAATACAGTGGAAGAAATATTTTATGGAACTGTTGAATGGAAAGGAAGAGAGAATTGTAGTGAAAGATAGTAAAACCGGGAATGGTGGTAGAGAAAGGGAGGCTGAGATTCGAGTAGAAGAAGTAGGGAAACAAGTAGGAAGACTGAAAAGAAGAAAAGCACCGGGGAGGGATGGGTTGGTAAACGAAGTGTGAATATTTGGGACGGATGGGATGATTGAAAGATTGTGTTAATGAATGATGTATGGACGGCTAAAGATTTTCCCAGGGAATGGAGAGTAGGGCAAATATGCCCAATTCATAAAAAGGGTAATAAAGAAAAAGTAGAGAATTATCGGGGAATAATTCTCCTAAATACGGCATATAAACTGTACGCAATGTGTATATACTGCTTCATCTAATAGAAAAAGGGTTGCTAAAGGAAGGAGGTCGGGTATATGCACTGTTTGTAGACCTAAGAGCCGCGTTTGATACGGTGGACAGAGAGTGTTTGTGGGAATACATGGAGAGAAAAGCACTGAGTGAAAAGTTAATTGTAGCAGGAAGAGAGATTTATAGAGAGACAGTGACTAGTGTGAGAGTGGGAGGAATAGAAAGTGAAATGTTTTGGACGACGAAAGGGTTGAGACAGGGACGACCATTAAGTCCCAGTCTGTTTGCTTGTTACATTAGCGATATCGAGGAAATGTTTAGAGGAGTACAAGCGGGAGGAATTGTGGTGAGAAGAGAAAAGGTATGATATTTGGCGTTTGCAGATGATTTGGTAATAAAAATCTGCAAAGATACTTTAAAAGAAAGAAACCGGAGGTAAATGTAGAAAAAACAAAAATGATGGTGTTTAGAAAAAAAGGGAGAAAAGGGGCGGAAAAAGTGTGGCGTTGGGAAGATCGAATCGTAGACACAGTAAAGGAGTTCAAATATTTAGAATTTAAGTTTACAACAACTAACACAGTAAAAGCACACATAACAGAAAGAAGGGTCAAAGCAATGCAGATAATGGGAATGGTGTGGAGTATAGATGAGAGAATATTTGGACATGACGTAAGAAGAAGGATGAAAATATTTTAGTGTAGTTGGGAGTGTATTAATGTATGGAGTGGAGATATGGGGATGGAAGGAATATGCAGAGATGGAAGCAGTACAAGAAAAATATTTGAGGTGGATATTAGGGCTACGGAAAGAGACGCCAGGCTATATGGTAAGAGACGAATGTAAACGAGAGAAATTAAAAGTATACACTGGGAAAAGAGTTGTAAAGTATGATGAAAGGTTGAAAGAAAGAGAGGAATGTAGGATATTGTATGAATGCTGGAAGGAAAAAAAAGGAAGCAGGGAAAGAACATCACAAGGGTAGACAAGGATCTTATAAAAGACTAGGATACGCATGGATGGAAATAGTGAGAAAGAGAGAAATGGGGGTGAGTATGAGAGAAAAGTTGTGTATACGTGACAGAGACATAGATAAACAAGAGAGAAGAGCGAATGTAGTAAATCTAGGTACAATGCAGACTATAGAAAGGTAATAACAGAAACAATACCAAATTACCTAGACAGAGAAAGCGCGAAAGAAAAAAAAATAATTGCGAGATTTAGGTGTGGAAATGAGAAAAGAAATAATAAGTTTTGGGTAAGCGAAGGTGAGAGAATGTGTAGGATGTGTGGAGAAGGGCGAGAGACGATAGAGCACATGCTGCATCACTGTGAGGAGAGCAAAGAAAGAGAGGAGAGGACAAGAGTAAGACTGGGGCAAGGGGGGATGGGGTAAAGGAAAAAAATGAGTTATTTGGTTTTTGTTAATTAGGAAAAAAATTGTAGTGTCAAGAATCTTTTAAGCCCGTAGGGTAAAAATAAACACTTACTACACCACTGACCTTCCACACACAAAGAAATAAATAATATCATGGTACATAAATCCCAGTCTGGCAAAGCTGGTTATAATACAAAATCGGGCGTGGGATCTGTTTAAATGCACGCGGTTGTAAATTTTCTCGTCCATAAAAGTGTGTTCAAGCCTTATTGCTGAATTCTTAAGGTTGTATGCCGTACTAAAAGTCATCCATTTGTCTAACTTTACGTCATAGAAAGAAATTTCTAAGCCAAATACTTTAAATAATTTGAGTTAATTTTAAATTAGTTCATTGAGTTTTTTATTTAATATAGGTATGATCTTACTTTATACAAGAGATAAATTATAGTACTAATGATAACAGTTACCACTAAGACAACTTGCAGTAATAAGTAGTCAAACCAAGAAAAATCAGCTCCTGGACTCCTCAATTGTATTGCTCCCTTATGTCTTATAACGTACTCAGTCCACCAAACAACCTTTTCCAGCCCTGTCATGGGCTTGTCGTACAAAAGGTCACGAAGTTCCTCGATTCGTTTCTTATATCTAGAATAACCACAGTGTCTTGTCTCTTCAGTAATGTCAAAACAACTGCAACTCACTTGCTATTTTCAGCAACCTCAATTATACAATTTTTTAGTTCCTCCTTGCTCATAGTAACCGGATCAACCCCTAGTCCGATCCCCGTGTCTATAATTTTGTGAACATTCGCAGGCTGGTCAGCCATGAAGGGTATCCCAATGAGTGGTACCCCTCTAGACACTGCTTCCTCAATGGATTGCAGACCGCCTTGTGTTAAAAAAACACGAATATTTCGATGTGCTTAAAAAAAATATTAAATTAGAAAAATTACTAAGTCAACACCAACCAAGGAGATCTTGTTGAGGAAACCATTTTCTTGTGACGACGTTCTTTGGTTTTCCAGGCAAGTAATCGGACTCCCATTTCCACAGAACTTTGTACGGTAGTTCAGACAAGGCTCCCAATATAGTGTTCCTTAGTTTTTCATCTAAATTTGTGCTTTTAACATTCGAGCCTAAGCTGAAGTAAATCACGCCTTCTACAGCATCGTCTAGTAGTTTTTGCAAATCCTATGCAGTTTCAAAATTATTTGAGGATGCAAGATTGTGTTGTGGTACTTACGTCAGGAAGTGATTTTACCGGTTTTATGTGCATTTTATCCATTTCCACTATAGCGGGTACATTGGGCTTCGGCGGGTATACAACAGGGTTTACATTAACAAAAAGCATACTCTGTCTCGCCTCCGTATCACCTACGTACGACACACCCTCCCCAAAATACCTTTCTGCAATATCTTGGGATCTTGGTACTAAAATATAATGAATAATAATAATAATAATAATAATAATAATATATTTCGTGATAATCATTACAAAAAATGTTTCACATGTCCGTAAACTTATATTTAATAAACTCAGATGTAGAATAGAAAACGTTATTAATTAATAATTCTTTGACAACTTTACAAAATACATTCTCAGGTAACTCTTTTAATGACACTGGAAGTACATTAAATAGTGTAATACAATAATACCGTAGAGCTGTTCTTGTTCTCGTTAATCTTTGAAAATCTGTTTGTAGCCATTCTTTATATCTTGTTTGATGCTCATGGTCCAGGGATCTAAACTGATTTGGATTAGCTTTCACATATCTAAGACAAGCATAAATATAAACTGATGGTAGTGTCATAATACATAAATTTTTAAATGATACCCTACAGTCATCTCTATAATTTAACCCGGCTATAATGCGAATACATTTTCTTTGTATAGCAAATAATTTTAACAAATGATGAGAATGACCCCATACTAAAATTGCATATGATAAACAGTTATGAATATATCCAAAATAAGCTGCTCTTAATGTTTTTTCAGACACAACTAGTCGTAGCCTGCGAAGTGTGTAGATTCTTTTTGATACTGATTTGCTTAACTTAACAATATGTTGTTCAAAAGTCATTTTTTTATCCAATATTATCCCTAGCATATTAATTGTTTCCTCAACAGTATCCAGCTCTCGTAAAGAAAAATATAGTCTTTGAGTCTTACTCTCATTCCTACACAATTTATTGGACAAGAACCAAGTATTGATTTCATTCTCTGCTTGAGTAATTTCGTTTATTAATTTCTTTACATCCTGATTACTACCCGCTAGTGTCGTGTCGTCTGCAAACAAAATAAAGTTCGTCATGAAAGAACTGCTTGGTAAATCATTGATGAATATTAGGAATAGGATGGGACCCAAGACAGAACCTTGAGGAACACCATATCTTATTAATTGTCGTGTTGAGTTTACGTTTTTATAATTTACATACTGGTACCGATTTGTCAAATATGATTTTAACAATAATAGACTTGAACTATCGAATCCATAAAGTTCCAGTTTTTTTAACAGTAAATCATGTGCGACACATTCGAATGCTTTAGTTAGATCAAGGCATATTGCATAGGCATGTTCTTTCTTACTAAATGCGTTGAACACAATTTCCGCTACTTTATTTACTGCCATTGTAGTTGAGTGGTTCTTCCTAAATCCATACTGATTATGACAGTATAACATATAATGGTGGTGGTACCACGACAACAAACTCCATACAACAGTTTCAATTTTGCTCCATAGCGATTTTTCGACATTGTGGAAACCAAATAAAATATCTGGGTATAGAATTGGGTGTGAGGGATTACCAAGAGTGTTGTAGTTGGCCCCCAATAATCCAAAGCTAGTGATTCCGATGGCAGGTGCTTTGAACCTTCCAGCTAACGCATACATAGCGGGATGAAGACCTTCTACCAAAACCAAATCAAAATGATTGGACTGGTCAGCTATTAGTTGTTTGAACCGAGAACTGTTCAGTTCGGCTTCTACAATATAATCGATGAAACGGTACGCAGGAATCAATCTCTGAAAAACGTTTGAGTCTTTTGAATACACTTCCTGGATTTTGGTTTGTTTTAGAAAATCGTAGGTAAAGCGAACACTAATTTCGGTTAGGTTGGTTAGAGAGGGGTCGTTTAAAGGGTCAGGTGTTACCACAGTGACGTTGTGACCTCTCAAGGATAGTTCTTTCCAAATTGGTTGGAAGACGATTTGGTGACTAATAGAGGGGAAGATGAACACTCCGAGAATATTGCTACACAGGATAGGTGTGGAAAGTAGAAGAAGTACTACAGATTCGAGGAACATTTTGTTATTATTTCCGAATACGACTAACGAAACTCACTTTCCACACAAGGTAAATGGTGGACGGCAATAAAGGTACACATAAAAATAATTTTGTGATACATAATTTAGAATTTAACGCGTTTGTGTATATTTTATTTACGCATGTAATTGGATCACTTTGTACTAGAGGTGGATAACAGTACCACTCAGAACAACTGCAACCTTCTCTAATAAATAGTCAAACCAAGTAAAATCAGGCTCGTATCTCAACTTCCGCTTTGGGAGCACCGGGGTTGTTCTCAAGCCGGAGACACGGATCTCCAGGTGGTGAGCGTCCGCGAGAAACAAGAAAATAAACTCAAACGGAAAGAAATATTTTAGAATAAATCGGGTTTATTCCCTGCCACCAGCTACACTGCTAAAATAATAATCTTATGACTCATTGTTCAATAACTACAAGATAAATTAAATAAACAAAATGAATAAAACGTCCGGCACGGTCGTTCCCTCATGGAAGGCGGCTTCCTTCAGGACGGACTCCTCCTAGACCTGGGGGCGGCGAACTTGAAACTTGGAAATCGCGCAAGGAGAGTGCGGTGGCGGAACACGACGCGTGCTCGGCGGTTTCGACGTTTGACGGTAATGGCAAAAAAACGGTACTTTTAGTGGTCAGTTCTTTCAGGGCTTCTCCAAAAACTCAAACTACAAGAATACACTTGTGGTGAAACGGCCGCAGCACTTTCACACCTTTTGAAGCTTCAAGACAGAATCCTCCTCTTCCGCCGCGTCGGTGCGGCGATTGTAATTTTTCCCCTGTTCTCTCGGGACGCGTCGTGGTTTCCGGCCCGCGAAAATTCGCTTCGTTACAACAGGTTATTGTTTAAATACAAAATCGGGCATGGTATCCGTTTAAATGTGCAGCTGTAAATTTTCTCAACCATAAAAATGTGTTTCAAGCCTTATCTATGAATTGTTAAGGTTATATGGGGTACTAAAATAATCTATTCGTCTAACGTTACGTCATAAGGAAAATTTGAAAACCTAATATTTGAAATAATTGGTCTAATTTTAAATCAGTTTATTGAGTTATAATTCACATTATTTTATTTTCTGTATTTTGAGATTGAACCGTTGATATACTCGTATGAGCTTAATTTATACAAGAAATAATGATTTATGTACCATGATATCATTACTTATTTCTTTGTGTGCGGAACGTCAGTAGTGGTCAGAACTAACAAGAAAAGTGATTGATATGGTACTTGCGATTTGGCGTATTTATTTTGATGTTGTCGGTACGGCAGATGAAGGAAGAGTCTTGGAGTTTGTGAAATTCAAATGGAAAGAAAGGTCGGTAGAAAGCGGTGGAAACGGTTGTGTCTAAAGGGTTCTTGGAAGGTATTTGAAATCTGGGAAACGATAAGTATTACTGAGAAGGGTGAACAAAAGATAGGCTTTACGACATGCAAGTGGACGGAGAGAAATTTTCGGGTGATACTGGAATCGTTGACATGGGGATCGGACAAGGTGTTGATCCGAGTACTGTAAGCAAAGAAGAACTGAAGAAATGTATAATTGAGGTTGCCGGGAACAACAAGTAGGTCGTAGTTGTTGTGATTTGACTTTAATGATAGGACAATTTTAGGTACCATAAAGGAATTCAGGAAATTCGTGACATTGTATATGATATGCCAATGACTGGACTGGAGAAGATTGTTTGGTGGTCTGAGTATGCTATTAGACATAATGGGGCAACATACTTGAAGAGTCCCGGGGTTGATTTTCCTTGGTTTGACTCTTTATTAGCAGAAGTTGTTTTAGTAGTAGTTTTAATGTTTAGTACTACTATGTATCTCTTCTACAGAGTAATTCGACTGTTAACTGTGTATTGGAATAATTCAATGAACATAGGTTAAATATGTTAAATACTTTGTGTAAATAAACTTTTCATTGTCACGTGTCCACTTTATTCTATTCTAGTATTTAGGGGTTTTGGAGATCACCATTGAGGAGACCAAGCGGTCTAAGACGTCTCTCTGCTGAATACCGACAATATTTTTGCATGCAATAGTAACTTTCTACAAGGAATTAAAAATATTGTGCTCATAAATAATCCCTAGGCTTAACTTATAGTGTGACCTGTTTTTGAACATTTACGCTGTGATTTATATACCAGATACCGCTTTTATTTTTTGATTATAATTTATATTTTTATTTGTTTTGCACTAAGTATAAAGGGCTAACGCCGCACTTAATCGTTTAATAGTGACAAGAAAATGTACCCTGCAACTACTGTACTTCTTCTATTTTCCACACCTGTCCTTTGCAGCAATATACTCGGAGTGTTCTTCTTTCCCTCAATTAGTCACCAAATCGTTTTCCAATTAATATGGAAAGAATTATCCTTGAGAGGTCACAACGTCACGGTGGTAACACCCGACCCTTTAAACGACCCCTCTTTAACAAACCTGACTGAAATTAGTGTTCGCTTCACCTACGACATTTTAAAACAATCCAAAATCGAGGAAGTGTATTCAAAAGACTCAAATGTTTTTCAGAGACTGATTCCTGCGTACCGCCTCATCGATTTTATTGTTGAAGCCGAACTGAACAGTTCTCGTTTCAAAGAACTAATAGCTGACCAATCAAATCATTTTGATTTGGTTTTGGTAGAAGGTTTTCATCCCGCTGTGTATGCGTTAGCTGGAAGGTTCAAAGCACCTGTCATTGGAGTTGCTACTTTTGGACTAACGGCAGTCCATTACAACACTGTTGGTGATCCCTCACACCCAATACTATACCCAGATGTTTTATTTGGTTTCCACAATGTCGATAAATCGCTGTGGAGCAAAATTGAAAGCGCTGTGTGGAGTTTGTGGTCATGGTACCACCACCATTATATTTTGGTACCGAGATCTCAAGGTATTGCAGAAAGGTATTTTGGGGAGAGTGTGTCGTACATAGGTGCTCTGGAAGCGAGTCAAAGTATGCTTTTTATGAATCTAAACCCTGTCGTGTACCCGCCAAAGCCTAATGTACCTGCTATAGTGGAAATGGATCAAATGCACATTAAACCGGCGAAACCACTACCTGAGGTTAGTACCACAAAGACATTCTGATAACCTCAACTAACCTTGAAATGTGTAGGATTTGCAAAAAGTATTAGACGAGGCTGTCGAAGGTGTGGTTTACTTCAGTTTAGGCTCGAATGTTAAAAGCACAAATTTAAATGAAAAACTAAGGAACACCATAATGGGAGCATTGTCTGAACTCCCTTACAAAGTTCTGTGGAAATGGGAGTCCGATTACTTACCTGGAAAACCAAAGAACGTGGTCACAAGAAAGTGGTTTCCACAACAAGATCTCCTTGGTTGGTGCTCACTTGGTAATTTTCATAATATAATAACTTTTTGTAGCACATCGAAATATTCGTGCTTTTTTCACACAAGGCGGTCTTCAATCAATTGAAGAAGCAGTCTTTAGAGGGGTACCACTCATTGGAATGCCTTTCATGTGTGAACAGCCAATGAATGTCCAGAGTATCGTAGACCAAGGGATCGGACTAGGTGTTGATCCAGTTACTGTGAGCAAGGAAGAACTAAAAAATTGTATAATTGAGGTTGCTGAAAATAGCAAGTGAGTTGCAGTGGTTTTGACATTGAAATTACCTACTGAAGAGACAATAATGCACTGTGGTTATTCCAGATATAAGAAACGAACCGAGGAACTTCGTGACGTTTTGTACGACAAGCCCATGACGGGACTGGAAAAAGTTGTTTGGTGGGCTGAGTACGTTATAAGGCATAAGGGAGCAATACATTTGAGGAGCCCAGGCGCTGATTTTTCTTGGTTTGACTATTTATTAGTGCAAGTTGTCTTAGTAGTAACTGTTATCATTAGTACTATAATTTATTTCTTGTATAAAGTATGGTCATATATATTAAATAAAAAACTCAATAAACCAATTTAAAATTAGCTCAAATTATTTCAAATATTAGGTTTACACGTTTTTTTCTATGACGTAAAGTTAGACAAATGGATGACTTTTAGTACGCCATAGTACCTTAAGAATTCAGAGATAAGGCTTGAAACACACTTTTATGGGTGAAAAAATTTACAGCCACGTGCATTTAAACAGATACCAAGCCCGAATTTGGATTTAAATTATAACCAGTTTTGTCAGACTGGAATTTATGTACCATGAAATCGTCTTTTTTTTCTTCGTGTGTGGAAAGTCAGTAGTGGTCAGAACTAACAAGAAAATGTTGCCTGTACCTGTCATACTCCTTCTACATTCCACACCGGTCTTGTGCATCAATATACTAGGAGTGTTTATGGTTCCCTCATTCAGTCATCAACTTGTCTTCCAATCAGTATGGAGCGAACTGTCCTTGAGAGGTCACAAAGTCACTGTGGTAACACCAGATCCTTTAAACGATCCGTCTCTTACAAACCTAACCGAAATCAGTCTTCACTTCAGTTACGTCTTTTTAAAACAAATTAAAATCCACGAGCTGATGTCTAAAGACTCAAACATCTTTCTCAACCTGGATGCCACTTTTCGTTTCATGGATTTAGTCGCAGAAGCTCAACTTAATAGTAGTCAATTCAAAGAATTAATAGATGATCAGACTAAACAGTTTGATTTGATTTTCATTGAATCTTTTCATCCAGTTATGTACGCCTTAGCGGGAAGATTCAAGGCGCCTATCATTGCAATTTCCGCCCGTGGAGTTATGGCAGTCATTTACACCATTTTTGGTAATCCTACATACCCGGTACTGTATCCAGACGCCTTGTTAAATTTCCACAATGGACGGTTATCACTGTGGAACAAAATTAAAAGCGTTTTATGGAATTTGTGGTCGTGGTACTACCACCATGCTATTTTGGTACCAAGGGGGCATGAAACTGCAAGGAAGTATCTTGGGGTGGATATACCACACATGGGGGATATCGAGGCAAATCAAAGTCTGTTTTTTCTTAACACAAACCCTTTGGTGTACCCGCCGAGACCTAACGTACCCGTCGTGGTCGAAACCGGACAGATGCACATTAAACCGGTGAAACCGCTTCCTGAGGATTTGCAACAAATTCTAGACGGTGCTGCTGAAGGTGTGATCTACTTTAGTTTAGGGTCGAACGTTAAAAGCGTAAACTTAGAGAACAAGGTAAAGAACACCATAAGACAAGCTTTGTCTGAGTTACCTTACAAGGTTCTGTGGAAATGCACATCGAAATATTCGTGCTTTCGTTACACAAGGTGGTCTTCAATCCATTGAAGAAGCCATTTCTAGAGGGGTACCATTAATTGGGATGCCTTTCATGCGTGATCAACCAATGAATGTACAAAAAATCATCGACATGGGGATCGGATTAGGTGTTGATCCTGTTACTATGAGCAAGAAAGAACTAAAAAAGTGTATAATTGAGGTTGCCGAAAACAACAAGTGAGTTGTAGTTGTTGTAGTTTGAGTATAATGAAGGGAGAATTTTAGATACAGTGAAAGAATTCAGGAAATTCGTGACATTTTGTACGACAAGCCAATGACTGGACTGGAAAAAGTCGTTTGGTGGACGGAATATGTTGTTAGGCATAAGGGGGCGAAACACCTGAGAAGTCCCACAGTTGATTTTTCTTGGTACGACTATTTATTAGTGGAAGTTGTCTTAACAGCAGTTGTAATGATTGTTACTATTGTTTATTTCTCGTACAAAGTAATCCAATTCTTGTTGTAACAAATTAAAATTAAAATGATAACGGATGCTTTCTTTTCATCACGTGGTCCCCTATATGACAGGCCATATTTCTACGGGGGAGATAATAATGTTTCTTCTGCATTTGGAACGCGCGACTTAAGTTCAGCTTGGCCATACGGTGTGCCGCGGGCCATGGATCTGGCGGCCACTTCGGCGGTATCGACGTCGGCCACCTGGTTCAGGACACCCTTTCGGTACACCATCTCAAAGTCGTATGGCTGTAAGGACATTATCCAGCAGGAGAGGCGACCACGAGGATTCGATTGTCTCAGTAACCATTTCAATGACTGATGGTCCGTCTCGACAATGAAGTGATACCGCTCGGGATACGGGAGCATCTTCTGGATTGCCTACACAATGACCAAACATTCCTTCTCGAAAGTGTCAGAGGCGATTCGGGCAAATGCGGGCACAAATTTACGGTACCAGGACTCTACTCCTAGGATGCGACGTAACCCGCGAACGGACCTTGCCGGCCACATGCCCTGGATCGCTTTAACCTTGTGTGGATCGGTCGACATTCCATGTTCGGAAACAACATGCCCAAGATATTTCAAAGATGTCTGGAAAAACGTGAACTTCTCTGGATTCGGCACCAATTTGGCGTGGCGCAGACTGTTTCTAGATTAATCTTGTATTCCTCCCACGTCAAACGCTTTACTGTCCATTTCCGGACCCAGCACAGCATTCAGAAGTTTCTGGAAAGTCGCACAAGCGGAATGGAGGCCGAAGGGCATCATTCGAAATTGAAACAACCCTAGGTTCAGGACGATGAAAGCGGTGATTGGCTTACTGTCTTCCGCAAGAGGAACTTGGCAATACCCTTGTTTCAAATCGATACTGGAAAAATACCTGGCTCCTCGCCATGTGTCCAATATCGAATTGATATACGGTAACAGATAAGCATTCTTCTGGGAGACGGTGTTGATTCGGCGGAAGTCAATACAGAAACGGTGTTCACCATTTTTCTTCCGCGTCAAGATAATGGGTGAGCTCCACGGGCTGTCTGAAAGTTCAATGACGCCCTCTTGTAGCATCCGGTTCACTTCTGCACTGATTATTGATTAAACGGATTTCATGCACAGCCGTGTCGGTGGACTTGGAAAATTTTTTGAGAATTTTTCGGGACCTGGAACATTCTGAGGGAAGAAAAATCGGTGGATAGAAATAAACCGGTGGGAGATCGGAGTAAATCAGGAAGAAATTTTGTTTTTGGTTTTTAGGACTTAGAATAACTTTGATTTGAGGTTGGGAATATAGAATTATAACTGTTCTGGACGAGAGGGGTTTGAAGGGAGGGGCAGGAATGCCAAGTGAAGAGAAGATGGAGGAAATTGTGACAGAAAGGGTAAAGGAATTAGAGGGGTCCTTGTGGGCGTGCCTATTTTTGGAGTCGAGTAGAGTTGGCAAGACGGTGAATGACTAGGTATCGGGACTTTGGGGCAAGGTGGAGACCATAGCATTGGAACTAGCAGTTGAGACAAGTTTTATGAAGGGAAGGATTAAAGAACTGGAATCGACGGATAGGAAGACGTACGCTGGAGTTGTCGGAGGTGCTGGATCTGGGCAGGACAGTAAGGAAATGCCAAGAAGGAAGGAAACGTATTCTGTTATGGTTAAGTCTAAGGATCCTGAGGAAGATTGGGATAAGATTAGAAAGAAAGTTAATAAAATGGATGTAGACGTGAAAGTGGAACATATAAGGAGAAACAGAAGTGGTGGATTAATAATTGAGACGAGGAGTAAGGAGGAGATATAGACGATAAAGCAAGTGGTTAAGACAAACCCGAACTGTTCCACGGAAGATGTGAAAAGTAGAGGATTTAGGATTATGTTGTATGATGTACCTGTGGAAATGGGGAATCAGGAATTGGTTGAGTCGATATATCGGAAAAATTTGGTGGAGAAGATGGCCGAGGAACAGTTTGGGGATAGTGTTAGAATTGTTGGTAGTGAATGATGGCTGGTTGGAGAGGTTTGTGCGTGACACGTGGAAGGTTAAGAAAGACTGGGGTGTGAGTGACCACAGTTGTATATTGATCGGTGTGGAAGGTGTGCGAGGGAAGTTCAAAGAGAATTTAAAAAACAAGAGAGGATGGTTCATGGGAAACGTCAAATCAGAATTGGGAAGGGAGGGCTATATGACCAGTCTTGAAAACTTCGCGAGACTCCCGCGTAGGGAGCAGCTAGAAAGCCTGCACGGATGGATCTGTATTGCGACAAGGCGACAAAAAGGTTTGTAAGGGGTAAAGGTGAAAGAGCAGCCTGGTGGACCGAGCAACTAAAGGACTTAAAAGGTCGAGTTGCAAAAGCAAGGAAAAAATTGCAGTTGACTCGTAAACGAGAGGGGAATTTGGACGGAAACGAGACGTGCAGGTTCAAGTACCAAGGCTTGCTCAAACATTATAAAAAGGCCATCAAGGAGACAAAGGTCTTATGGTGGAGGAATTTTGTCCGGTTTGTTGGCAATGCAGATCCGTGGAGTGCAGTTTATAAGCTCTGCGGGAGTGAGAAGAACGAAGGACTGGTAGGCGTGTGGGACGGTGATAGGAAAACGGAAACGTTGTAACGGCATAAAAATAGGATACCGTTTTATTCCATCATAGTGTACACTTATTATATTTATGCCAGAATAGCGTCCCTCGCAAACCTTTTATGTTGTTCACCATTTGAGGTTACTGTAAACAAAACACGTCATCATCTTTTGGCAACCCTGTCGCCTTGTCATCTGAAATAGGGATTTTTGACTCGAACTGAACAACAGCGCCACCGGAATTGACACCATCTTGTCGAAAATAAACTTAATTCTAATTGGTTCCTAAAAAGGCGGGAAGGCTTCTGCTGATGACGGATCACTTTTTTGAGGCAAAAAAAAAATATATCTTCATCCGTTAGATTTTTGCTAACCTTCTTGTGTGGTTGTGCGAATTCTGTTCCCGGAATTTTTAGCTTTGAGAGACCTAAAAGTTTAGATTTGTGAAATTGCTTGGAGTAATTGTCGCTAAGGTCTTACTCAAACGACTTATTGTGTAGGATTTTGGAAAAAAAACGGAGGAAAAAGTGCTTGCAAAGCACGCAACGTTTGTTGGATTTTTTTTTGGACGCCACCACACCCTCAATATCTAAAGCAGCCTCGCCCATCCAGAGGTAAAATGATTAAATATTCTCACAGTTTCAACTTTTCTCGTCGATGAACCAATTTGTGCCCCATTGTCAATTTCCTGGCGAATTTTCTAGAACTTCGTTTTTTTAGGCTTTTATTATTGGAGTGTACTACTCACCCGGAGTTTTCCACCAAGTTCCCTTCGTTTGGTGCTTCATTGCCTGGACGCTAAAGGAAAATTCAGCAGCTCCTGGAGCCACGATTTTCGGGGTCTTGCTGTGATTGCTCGATTATGACTTAAATCCGGATTCCCGAATCCTTTTTGAGGAGAACCCTTCCATCTAGCTGAAGGTGACGTGGAGGACACCGGAACGATAAGTACCCGGAATACCATCCTACCTACGATCGTGCGAGCGTATATTACGATAATACCATAACATCGTTGTAACAGTTTAATTTTGGCATTTTTTTTTGTGTGCCATTGTCGATTTTATTCACCTTTTTTTTTTATTTAGGTTTTCTTGTGTAACTTACCTAATTATTGTAGTCCTGCAGTTGGAGCTTCACCTCACTGTGGTATAACTTGTGCACCGGTTGTTATTTTGGGAGCGCTATTTTGTTGGTTGGTTGCGTTATCGCTTATTTCCATATCACGTTACTGATAAGACGCCGTTCGACTCAGCTGATACGCTCTGCGTTTGATATAAGGTACGTTCACGAACATCGGTTGACGATAAAGTGCGCGAAATATAATAACAACTTGGTCTTATTTATTTGTTTATGCATTTAGTTGATATTGACTTACGTTTCACTCATTGTGTGACAATCTCACAACGTAACAATTTCACCCTTGTACAACTTTCACTGTTTTTTTGGTCTTCGATAAGCTTTATCGATTTTTGGATCTTCTTGGATTATATTTTAGAAACACTATCTGTCATTATCATCATTTAACTAGACTCTTTTTTTTTTCTGTTTACCGTACAATATAGACTGCAGATATAAATTTGTTCTTTTTTATCACGCTTTTATTAGCTTGGGTTGTATGTAACGGAATCTTTGAGCTTAATTTTCATCGGTTTCTAAAAGTCTAATCATCTTGAAACTTTGCACACGTCTCAAGGATCGATGACAATGCAATAATTTGATAACAGTTTCCCATTATCCTTATTAGGAGCGCCAGGATTTATAAATTCTTTTATGGATCCTGTGTAGTGGAGTAAAAGAGATAAAGCTAGCGCGCGATCTGCGCATGCCTGTAGTATCTGGTTTACTCTTCGTTGTAATTATAGTCTTGATTAAAATACAAATAACGGATATTAAATGAAAAAAACAAGAACGGACTTTTAATTAACTAAACGTGTGCAAAAATGGCTGATCGCATCTTAATTGTGTCAGTATATACCACGGTTATCTCTCTCCGTGTCGATTATACCGATCTATACCGATTATTTCTGTTTCAAGGACAATTTCTGCATAGCTTTGGTTTTACAGTCGGTAAAGAAGGAATTAATTATAATTAAAACATATCTAATCATGAATTCTCACCAACTTAAATAAAGATAACAAATTTTGATTCAGAAATACAAACATGGAGGAAAATTAACCATTTGGGGGGTAAAACTAACCACAATGATGAATTGTGTCCCGTTGGTCCGGGAGGGCGATTGATTTTGAAACTAATTCCCGTTGATCGATCATACGGAGACCACTGAGTGGTTCTTTCTAGAAAAATCTAAATAAGTAATTAATTCCCCAATTTATGAATTTGTCGCAGACTAAAAAATGAAAAATAAATAATAGTTTAAAAAACTAAAAAAACACGCTTTTATTGCTAATCGAACTAAAAACTAGAAAATAATTTTTAATGACAGAGTTTAATATTACAGTAGTAGAAGATCAAACAATCAATCATAATAAATCACCTCAAATTAAAATTATAATAAAATTTAAGTTATTAACAGAATAATTCAATTCAGAGTAAAAAGCGTGGGGTGCTTGATATTTTAAATATTACAATCATTCTATTGGCAACTATCTATGAGAGGATAGTTATGAACCGCAGTAAAATGCACCCCACGCTTTTTACTCTGAATTGAATTATTCTGTTAATAACTTAAATTTTATTATAATTTTAATTTGAGGTGATTTATTATGATTGATTGTTTGATCTTCTACTACTGTAATATTAAACTCTGTCATTAAAAATTATTTTCTAGTTTTTAGTTCGATTAGCAATAAAAGCGTGTTTTTTTAGTTTTTTAAACTATTATTTATTTCCCCTCATTGCGGGTTGCTAGCTGCTTTTTTCGAGTTTGGGGAGGCAAAATAGGATTAGACGATTGCGATAGGGGCGTTATAACGAACTCGTGGCGCCCTAATAATTTTGCTCTTTTTTTGAAACCCACCCACACGACTAGCTGGCTGGCCGCCACCTATCGCAACACCTGTTTAAGCAGTTTGACGTCACAACGTGAAGGGATACGGTGGAGGTATTGTTGACAGAGTTTTTCCCAGTTGACGTTCCCGTGAACTATGAATTGTATGAAGGGGTGGAGGGTGTCGTCGAGAGAGAAAATTTTGATGAAGTTGAAAGGTGCGTGAGGAGTATGAGGAAGAAGAAGTCGCCGGGAATGG